TGGAGAGCAAGGCGGAGTCATGGGTTTTAGATTCTGGCGCATCGCTTCATGGTACCTCAAACAAAGATCTATTTAATAGCTATGAACCGGGTAACCTTGGCAAGGTGTATCTTTGGTGATGATCAGCCTTGCATCATTGTTGGCAAGGGTGAAGTGCAAATCAAGTTGAATAGGTCAGCTTGGAAGTTGAAGGATGTGAGACACATCCCTGACTTGAGGAAGAATCTGATTTCGGTGGGACAAGTATCAGAGGAAGGTTTTGTTGCAACCTTCAATGGAGACTCGTGGAAAGTTTCCAGAGGTGTTATGACCACTGCACGTGGTAAGAAATCTGGCACTCTCTACACAACTACCAGTGCTTGTGGGTCTATAGCAGTTCCAAAAAATAGAGAAGATCACAACCTTTGGCACCAGAGACTAGGTTACATGAGTGAAATGGGAGTCAAGATTATGTACTCAAAGGGGAAACTACTAGGCATACGGGCAATTGATATTGACTTCTGTGAGAGTTGTGTGATGGGCAAGCAGAAGATGGTCAGTTTCAAGAAAAGTGGCAGAGATCTCAGAAAGGAGAAACTTGAGCTAGTTTACACAGATGTCTTGGGACTAGCCATTGTCTCATCCATTGGCCAAAAATCCTACTTTGTGACTTTCATTGATGACCACATGAGGAAGGTATGGGTTTATTTTTTGAAGCACAAATCTGAGGTATTTGATGTGTTCAAGAAGTGGAAGGCAATGGTAGAGAATGAGATAGGTTTGAAGATCAAGAGATTGAGGTCAGACAATGGTGGTGAGTATGAAGACACTGTATTCAAGAAGTTCTGTTTTGATAATGGGATCAGATTAGAGAGGACTGTGCAAGGAACCCCACAGCAGAATGGGGTGGCAGAACGGATGAACCGAACATTGACAGAGAGAGCCAGAAGCATGCACATACATTCAGGTCTACCCAAATAGTTTTGGGCAGAAGCAGTCAATACAACATGCTACCTAATTAATTATGGACCATCGGTGCGTTTGGAGCATCGAATACCAGAGAGGTATGGAGTGGCAAAGAGGTAAATCTTTTATGGTTGAAAGTTTTTGGTTGTATTGCATATGCGCATATTAGTGACCATGCTAGAGGAAAGCTCGACCCCAAGTCACTAAAATACATCTTTGTGGGTATAGCAGAGATGAGTTTGGTTATCGACTCTAGGATAATCAGAACAAAAAAATCATCAGAAGTTGAGATGTGATTTTCAACGAGAAGGTGATGTACAAGGATAAAGTTGCAACACAGTCAACTAGTCCTATACAGAGTAAGCCTGAGTTTGTTGAGTTGGATGATGATCCAGAGAACATTGACGCGAAGTAGACAGAAAAGGGTTCTTGGCCAGAACTCACAGAGCATACTTCACCACGGATTCTAACTCCTAAGCCTACACCCAAAAGGTCCACATGTCCTCATGTACCTAATCGAAAATATTTGGATTATATATTGCTCACAGATGATGGTAGGCCTGAATGCTAAGCATATCAAGTTGAAGATGTTAGCAAGTGGGAGCTTGCAATGGAAAATGAGATGAAATCTTTTATCTCTGACAAAACATGGGAAATAGCCAAGTTGCCCATCGGGAAGAAAACTCTTCACAACAAATGGGCGTACAGGGTAAAAGAGGAACACGATGGTTCTAACAGATACAAGGTAAGATTAGTGGTTAAAGGCTTTTAGCAGAAGCAAGACATTGACTACACAGACATTTTTTCCCCGGTTGTGATTAGCTAAGGGAATACTCACTGCCTTAGTATTATTTATGTTGAACCTTTTCAAAACCCATTCAACGTACACATCCTGAGACATCTGCAAAGTACCTATCTATTTGTCTTTGCTAATCTTCATCCCAAGAATTTGCTTTGCTGCACCATGATTCTTCATCTCGAATTCACTAGACAACTAACTTCTTCAATTGCTGATTTATTCAAAATCAAAACCTGTCACTAACATGTCATCAACATAAAGTAGAAGGATAATGAAACTTTACTTGAACTTCTTTTCAAAGTGAGTTAAAATTGAAAGGTTATTGTGATGCAGATTGTGCTAAATGTCCTACAACAAGGAGGTCAATGACTGGTTATTGTATATTCCTTGGGAATTCGCTCATAAATTAGAAAAAACAAAAACAAAAAACTGTAGCTCGCTCCTCAGTTGAACTAGAGTATAGATCCATGACGTCCATCATATGTGAGTTGATATGGTTAAGATATCTTTTTAAGGATTTACAGGTCAGTCATCTTGAACTGGCAAGCTTATATTGTGACAGCTAAGCAGCCTTACATATAGCCGATAATCCTGTATTTCATGAACGCACCAAACATATTGAGATAGATTGTCATTTTGTTCGTGAAAAAATTCAGTTGGGTTTAATTGCTACTGCATATATTCCTTCTACACATGAAATTGCTGATATATTCACAAAGCCTTTGGGTAATCTCCCTTTTCACACACACTTGCGCAGGTTGGGCATTTTGGATATCTGATGTGTGTGAAATTTATACCACTCGCAATAGAACGAATCTTTTGCAGGATAGGGCTACTTAGAGGATGTCGAACCTCAGGGACTATGGTGGATTATCAAGTGTTCAATTAATACTATTTTAATTTAGAGAAAAAGATTATTTGTTTGTGTTGTGTATCGCTAGCATAAATAAAAGTAAACTAAATAAAGGAATGAGATCAGAGAGAAGATCTTAGGGATTGACTTCACCACGAACCTCATGCTATGGTCAATTGTTCAACCTTAGGATTTCAACACTTATGTATAATATGGAATTAAACTCAATAACATTCGTTTAATTCAAACTGAAAGAGAGATGTTTCATGAATTTCAGTTAATAATAACCTATCTTCGGTTGGCACGAATTATCTACCTACCTACTTTTAACTAATGTTGTAGTATAACTCATCTTCCCTAAGCATAGACTATGAAAACATTTATTCACAAAAAATGTTTGAACACTATTGTATGGTCTCTATTCTTATTTTCCGAGAAACCCTTAGCCGCTAATATCATACACTAAGAATATATTGAATATAATTAATGAACTATTAAATCTAAGATAAGGTATTAATTATTCAAAAACTATTTACTTCATTAAAATCCAATTGATCTAAGTCAATTGCCCATAATCATGTAATCAAAATACATAAAGAGTTAAATTCCCAAAGTATAGAACAATCAAACCATAGTATTCGGATTCGGGTTTCATCAATGCCTTATGAGGAGATTTAGCTACTCATGACGACGAAAGATATCATCTTTGTTGTTGTGGACTTCATCACCATGGACTGCACTTCTCTTCTGAGGATCTTCACCTGCAATGCTTTAGAACAACTACCAAAAACCCTAAAAGCCGCCACTAGATCTAGAATAATGAAAACTAAAACGTGAGAACAAGAGAGATTTTTTGTGGCCTTATGCATCCTTTTATAGAAGCAATTGACTTCTAACAAGGATTTGATGGGCTTTAGGTCTTCTAGGGTCATCTGGGCCCGTCTGGGACGAATTAATACTTAATTAGAATTAATCCCGTAACTTTAAAGTCTGACTTAACAACAAAGGCTCGAGCAGAGAAGCTTTTGCTCGAGCTTGTTGGCATATGCTCGAGCAGGAATTTCATACTTAGTCAATTTTCTTCAAATCTTTTTCGAAGCGTCGTTTTCATCAACACTAGAATATTTTGGGATAATTTCATTATGGTACTCGATCACCTTGACTTGGTGCTCGAGCCTTGGGACTTCTGCTCGAGCTTTTTGAATTATGCTCGAGCCTTTTGGTCTCTGCTAGAGGTCTGGCAGCATGGATCTTCCGAAGTGTCTTTTCATATTCTGAGAAGTTTGTGCTTGATCCCTTTTGCAAAGGCTCGAGCACCTTGAATCTTTACTCGAGCCTTTTGGCCTTGGTTATTTTTCTTACTTTAGTTGATTTTGTGCTCGAGTTATAGAACTTGTGCTTAAGCATTAGCACTTAAACTTCTCCAAAATCATCATTTTGACTCCAAGCTTGCTTCAGATGATCGCAGATAACTCTGTAAGCTTCAATATTAGTCTTTTTATCATAAAATCCCGGTTTTATCCATTTCTTTGGGAAAGTACCTACAAAAGTAAAGTAAACTCAAATCAGTCTAAAACTGGATAGAAGTACTACTTAAGGTCTTAACATACGCATGTTTAGGGGCTCGAATGTGTAATGTTCAGTGCTTATCAGTATCCATGCTCCAATTTGTGGGGTAGTGTTGAAAATTATGTAATCAATTTCCTTCGACACAAAGTCAGCAAAGATACTTACCCAATTAAGTCCTTGATTCTTGTAAATTGATTTGATTTGATTTGGTGTAGATTGCAAGTTATTTTCTTTCTATGTACAGCTATATCTTTCTTATATAAATAGTGTCTCCTGGATGTAAAGAATTTCATTACAAAATAAAGGAAATCTTCTCCATCCTTTTTCTTCTAGTTTTTCACAGTGTGTGGCGATTTATTGTAGTTGAGGGAGGCTTGAGGAGGTGATTCCGGTGCTGAATTAGGGCATTTAAGGTTCTGGATGTGCCAAGTTTTATTTGGGTATCAGCCTATTTTAGCATGGTGGTGGTGGTCGTGGTTGGGAGTGATGGCTATACGTCGTGGTTAGGGGTGGTGGTGTTAGAAGGTTGAGATGAGAGGGGAGAAAGAAAGGTAAGAAGAATAGAGAGGCAATAGTTTAATAATTAAAATAATGGGTATTTTGGTGATTTCACTATTTTGATATTTTTTTAACTACATAAAATAATGAAGGACAATCTCGACTTTCCACACTATTTTAGATGTTTGGATCAATTTGTGACAGGAGTGTAATTGTTAAAAAATTAGGTAACTTCGTGTGATTGTTAATAAGACAAAGTGTGAGTGTAATTAACCAATTAAAAAAAAGAAAAAAAAAGAAAAAAAACCGAACTACACCTTTCTTGCGAAACCGGGACCCTAGTTTTACCTATACCATTCAAAGGAACGAGCTAGAGAGGAGAGGGGATTGAAAAGCTAGGTAACAGAAGACAGACAAGGAAAGGATGGTTTGGTGCATAAAGAACGGAACGATCTACAACACTAGCTTTGCGGATGTGTTGGAGCCGGAGTTGATGTGGGAATTGAAAAAAGTATCTCGCGATGTTAAGATCGTTGAGGACGAATTTGATGAGCACGGGCGGCCCAAGGTCAAAATTGTTTACTTGGACCCTAGAGGTTGGTCCGGTAACTATCTGAAAACAAACGTGTGTACAGGTTCCTCATGCAGTGCGAGAAGAAGATGATCGCCAAGCTTAACAAAAATCAAGCCCTTGAGGCGCAGGTGCAGCCTCCTCGGATGATTATCGTGACGCAGGACAGGGACTACTGGCCTGGATCGGAGAAAGATCCTGAAGCAATGAGAAGGCGAGCTATCAAAGAAAAGGCTTTTGCGGAGATTTCACAAGGACGACACATGGGTTATGTGCGTCCTGGTTATATGTTAATCAATGTGCCTCCCAATCTGGATGATGACTACAGCGACGTCTGTGGGCGTGGCCTCGACTTCTACGACCGCGCGTACTGCCAACGGTTTTTCGACCCGTCTCTGCCTGGCACCAAATTCATTCTAGACAACTATGACCAGAAGGAACTCGAGGACGGTTTTGGAGGTCTTGATGTAGGTACCTTTAATTATTTTGTTTGCCTAATTCTTCAACTTTTGACTCACTTATTTGCCATGCTTGTAGTGTCTGCCTACAAATCCCGTTTGCTACTTTTCCCCCTATAATATTTTCAATCTATTGTTCTCTGCATGGAATTATATCTTTACTGTTAAATTAGGAACATCCCACTTGAATACTGTTATTATATTATTATATTATGCAATTGCATTATAGGATTATAGAAATTATATCAGGGTGTTGCCTTGCCGAGTATATGCATATAAGAATATCCATAGGTATCCCACCTAAGATTTACATACTTGTGTGTTGACCGTGGTGGTGGATTCTCACAAAGGGTATCGGACTTGAATAGTCTTGCCAATATAGGAAATGCACTGAGTTTCTCAACATTGATACATAGAAAGCATTGCTGACAAGAGTTGTGGTGGTGGATTCTCACAGAGGGTGCAGTGGGGACAAGATGTCTAGTTATGTCCTCACTGTGCTTTTACAAAAAAAATTCTTTGGTGAAGGCGCAGTGGGGACATAATTAGACATCTTGGCAACCGTAATTAGAAATTTGAGGACAAAAGTCTCGTTGAGGAGGGTGGTTTGTAGTGACCCAAAAAAAAAAAAAAAAAAAAAAAATGGAAGCACAACTACACTATAAGTCTGCATACACTGGGATATAAGAAAAGTTAACCGGCATGTTTAAAGGAACCAAATCAAGGATAGAGATTAAATACTCAATAAAACTCTAAATAATATATATATATATATATTCTTTATCAGAGCCTAGCTTGGTGGCAATAGGATTTTTTTTCTTTCTATATTCTAATGTTTGTCTAGGTTTTTATTGTGACCCTTGGATGTAATAATTTGGGCATTTGGATGTTTCATACTAAGATCTTTTTGTGGGATAAATTATTTTATTTCTTGATATTTTGATCCTTTTTTCACATAGTATGAGATCATCATAAGGTTCATGAAAGTTTGTGTAGAATGTACACCTTAGAATATGCTAACATTAAATTGGTTTTCTTTACTATTTGTAAATGTATGTTACATAAATAATTACCAGTTTTTATTATTATTTAAATATATACATGTATAAATATTTTAAGTTGTTGACCACATGGTTACACAAAAATGACAACATATAAGACACATATATAATATGAAAAGGAGTACTGAAATTATCATTGAAGATAAGTTGATACATAGTTGGTTTACTTCTCCGCCATTAGATTTTGACTAAAAGAAGTTTTACTTGACATATGACCACACTAAGGAGTCATGTTTTGATTTGTTTTGAGACATTTGTTTGTTGTATTGGTGATTGTTTGTTTGAGGTTCAGTGGGTTATGCCCAAGTGAAGCAAACAGAAATGAACAAGAGATTTTGCAGCACTAAGAAAGAATAGGGTTACTCCACTAAAGGGAAATATGGGAAAAGCCTTAAGAAAAGTATTAGTCTGAAATAACTCAAAATGATATTGATAAAGACTTGGTTACAACTGATAAAGAGGGCTGTCCCTTTTATAAAACTACTATTGATGAAACATGAATTTTGGAATCCCCACACAACATTAATATCATTTTATCACTTTCCTAAGTAAATACTTAGTAATTCCAAAGCTTAGTAAAATGACACTTTGATTTTTTCTTCAAGGCACTTTCCAAAGCACCATTAATGATTTGCATCACCAAGTCATCCACAGGCTTAGTTGAGGCTTGGAGAGGTTGTACAGTGGTGGTCCAAGTCCGTGATTACTGGAGGACTATGCCTTTGTGCATATGGTGGTGTTTATACATGGGAGATCCTTTGAAAGAGAGGAGAATCCTATTTGGGACATTGAAGTTTACTTGTTGTAGAACCATTTTTTGTTGGGCTCTAGGAAGAAATTGTAAATCCTTAGAGGAGATTGTGGATTTTTTGAACTACTTGAAAAGTTTAGAAGCCCTATTTGGCCTTGTGTATCTTCCGAGGGATGCGTTCCCTTTTGAACGCTTTTTTAGTGCAAATATTCCTTATAAAAAAATATTGGTAATTGTGAAATTTTAGATGACCACAAACATGACAGAGAAAATATAATACATCATTGGGAAATGTAAGGAATACCATATCAAAGAAAAATTATTGATACATATCCAACTTTGAAAAGGGCTACCTACTTATGGGATTTTCCCAAAACTACCACGATTAAAAGGAAAAAATAAGAAAAATCAAAAGTATATAATATTTGGCTTGCGAAGAGTGTCCACTAGTGTGAAAGCCGTCAAGGTTTGGTAATGGTATCTGAAAGGAATTCAAAGGACCGTGTTGAGTATTTTACTTGAATTTCTTTCACAATATGATATGGTATGCTTTCATGATTTGGATTGGTGATTTTTTTTTATTGCGAGATTACATCAACATTGTTGAGACGCGAATCTTTATATTTGATGATTTAGTTCACTTTTACACCCAAAGAAACGGATCTGATTTTTATTTTATTTTATTGGTTGAGAAGTAAAATAAACTTGTTGAGACTTTTTTTATTTATAAAATTAGTTACTTTTATTCATAATATATTGTGGTGTCATATGTTGTTGTCAAACAATTAAACTATCGCTGTTTTACTTGACTAGAAGAAAGTTCTATTATGCATACTAATTAGATTTATCTATCTAAAAATCAAAGTCCAAAACTACTTTTATTTCTTTTAGTATTTTATGTTTTGCTTCTCTCTCCTATGTGCTTCTCTCCTATATGTTTCTTTTTATCTTTTTGTCAATTCTGTAGCAAAATGCAGAAGAAAGTGGTATGTTAAATTAAGGGATAAAACTGAGCAAGGGGGAGAGATGTGAGATATGTGAGCAGTGTTATTAAAGGCTCAAGGCGCACCAAGGTGCTAGAGGTCCTTTGGAGCCTAGGCGCGAGGCGAGGCGCACGCCTGAGTGGCGCGAGGCGAGGCGCACATTGAAATTTTTAACTACCGTAAAAGCATTCATATCTCATAAGTCATATCAATATTCTAAAAATTAATATCAAATATAAAAATGTAAATCCATCAACTATATAAGCATTCAAGAACATAAAACAGAGCACAAATTTGTTTTCTTGAAAGACAAAACAAAATTTGTTTTTGAAAGGAAAAACATAGCACAAAAAGAAATAAATCTATTAACAAAACAACAACAAAAAAAACTGTTGACAAGAAAAGGAAAAAAAACAGAGCCCAAAAAAAAAAAAAAGACGCAGAGACAAAAGAAGTAGATGAGAAGAGAGAAAGTGTGAAAAAAAAGGAGAAAAAATAGAGCCCCCGACAGAGAAGAGAACTACACAAAGAGAGAAGTTAACAAAGATGAGAAGAGAGGAGTAGAGGAGAAGAGAGAGAGGAAGAAGAAAGAACTGATATGGCTTCATCTTTCATTTCTGCAACTAGGGTTTTGTCGTTGGTCTTACAGTCTCTCTCTTTCTATGTTTGGTTGATACTTTAACTCTTGGGCTTTCTTATTTATTTATTCTTTTGAACAAAAGTTCTTCTCTCATACGCTTTAGGCTTTTTTATTTGTTTATTAAGTTGCCAGAAGTACCCTTTTTAGCTTAAGAAAGAGAATAATCATTTTTTCTTATCAAAAACAAGAAAGAAAGAGAATAATCATTTTTCAAAAAAAAAAAAAAAAAACAATGAGGTGCGCCTATGCGCACCCGACAAATAGGACGAGGCGCAAACGAAGCGCCTAGTAAACATTAGTGCGCCTGGGATGACAACAAGCGCTAGACTAGGTGTGCCTTTAACAACACTGTATGTGAGAAATTATTTCTTTATATGAGCCTTATGATATATATATATATGTGTGTGTGTGTGTGTGTGTGAGCGTGTTTGTGTGTGTGTGTGTGTGTGTGCGCTTCATGTCTTATTTTTTTGTTTATCAAGCTTGATATTTCTGTTGAAAAAATTATGCTTTTGTATATGCATTCTCTTCAAGTGATTGAACAGTTTTTGAGTTGTTCTATATTTCTTTATATGTACATGTGAGAGTGCTTGGTTTTTTTTTTTTTTTTTTAATTTTCCTGAATGTGTGGAAATTTTATACAGATAAACAATATAGTACAATGAGAAATGGTGGACTAAAAAGCCACACAAAGAAAACAAACAGCTCAAAAATTGAGAAAACAAAACATAACTGAGAAAACAGCTCAGAATTGAGAAACAATAAACATTAGCAAATATGACGCATATCTGAGATTGAAATGCCCAAAAGAGGAAAGGCTCTCAAGGTACACTTTAGTTGCAACTTCTGCTGCAGTGGATGATTCCCCTCCATGAAGAACTTTGTTTCCATTATTCCAAATACACCAAATAGTGGCAGTGATTGGGTGTTTTGGTTGAGTCATTCTTATTTTTTTTTTCCTAGTTGGTACTCACACACACATTCTTATGTTTGTACTTATTTTTTTGTTTTGATTTGGAATTGCCGATGGGGGAAATTGTTAGGTATATGAGTTATGTGTTGGCAAATTCCTACTCAAAACTATATTGTAATGTGTCATAGAGTCGAGAGTTGTTCGAGGACATCTAATGTAGACACAGCAGAGATAGAATGGCGAAGATCATGGTGAAAATTTTACATCCTCAATCACACATCTAGGTTACAGGTTAGACGACCTTAGAAAGACCTATGTTGATCTTGTTGGGCTCTTAAAAGTTCAGGGCATTGTGGCTTAAGGAAGGGGATAAGAAACGAAATTCTTCCATCGGTTGGGCCGGTTGGCTAATGATCATTGGAGGGGTAATCACTGTGGAAGGATTTTTATTGATGGTAACTTGATGAGTAAAGAGGAGGATATTTAAAGAGGGATTGTTTGTAGTATTCTGAAACCTTTAATTGGAGACCTTTACTTGACGGGCTGGAGATTGGTTGGAAAGGACCTTTGTTGAAGATGAGGTGGAGATTTCTTTGAGGAGTTGCAATGGTGATAAGACCCCATGGCCGAATGGCTTTTCTATGTCATTCTTCCAACAGAATTGGGATGCAGTTGAGGAAGGGATGGATTCTTTCTAACTCCTTTCATGTGCATTGTCAATTTGAGAAGAGTTTAAATACCTCCTTCGTTGCCCTCATCACTAAATAGGGTGCAGTTATAGAGGCTAAGGACTTTTGGCCTATTAGTTTGGTGGGGAGCATCTACAAGCTTATTGCTGAAGTTCTTGTCTTGCGGTTGAGGAGAGTTATTGATGGAGTGATTTCAAACTCTCAAAATGCTTTTGTTGGCAGGCAACATATTTTGGATTTGGTTATGATTGCTGGTTAGTGGGTGGATATAAGAATCAGTAGTGGGGTATTGGGGATTGTCTGCGAATTAGATATTGAGAAGGCTAAGGACTTTAGGCCTATTAGTTTGGCGGGCAGCATCGACAAGCTTATTGCCAAAGTTCTTGCCTTGCAGTTGAGGAGAGTTATTGATGGAGTGATTTTAGACTCTCAAAATGCTTTTGTTGGCGAGCGGCAAATTTTGGATTCGGTTCCGCTTGCTAGTGTGTGGGTGGATTCAAGAATCAGTAGTGGGGTATTGGGGATTGTTTGCAAATTAGATATTGAGAAGGCTTGTGACCATGTGAATTCGGATTTTTTTTTTTACTTTCTTTTTTGTGTATATCTTGGAGAGGATGTGGTCTGGTGATAGAAATGAAGGAGATGGATTCTTTTCTGCATTCCATTGTGAAATTATTCTTTTTGTGAAATTATTCCTTTTGGTGAATGGGCCCGCATTAGGATTCTTCTCTAGTTCGAAAGGTTTTTTATTTTTTATTTTATTTATTTATTTTTTATTTTTTATTTTTTAATTGGTACTTACACACACATGCCTTCACTGAGGCTTGAACCCCTGACCTCCCTTTGTTAAGTAAGGGCCTGATACTGCTAGGCCAGGCCCGTTGGCCTCTAGTTCGAAAGGTTATCGTAGGGAGATCCATGTCCCCATATTTATTTATTATTGTGATGGAGGTTTTCAGTCAATTGGTGAGAGGAGTTGAGGCTATGGGTTATATCAGGGGTATTGTTGTTAAAGGCGCGCCTAGGCTCGAGGCGCAGGTCTAGCGCTTGTTGTCGTCCTAGGCTCGTTGTTTACTAGGCATGCGCCTCGTCCTATTTGTCAGGCGCGCCTCATTTTATTTATTATTATTATTTTTTAATGATTATTCTATTTGTTAAGCCAAAAAGGGTACTTTTGGCAACTTAATAAACTAATAAGAAAGCCTAAACTTACGAGAGAAGGAACTTTTGTTCAAAAGAATAAACAAATAAGAAGGCCCAATAGTTAAAATGTCAATCGAATATAGAAAGAGTGAGACTGTGAGAGCAATGACAAAGCCCTAGTTGCAGAGACAGACGATGAAGCCATGTCAGTTCTGTCTTCTTCTTTTGTCTTTTCTCCTCTACTTCTCTCTCTTCGTCTAGTTCTCTTCTCTCTCTGTCTTTTTCTTTTTTTTGGGCTCTGTTTTTTCTCCTTTTTCTTCACACTTTCTTTCTTTTCTGATCTACTTCTCTCACTTCATCTACTCCTTTTGTCTCTGCGCCTTTTTTTTTTTGGGCTCAGTTTTTTTTTTTTTTTGTTAATAGATTTATTTCTTTTTGTGCGCTGTTTTTCTATTTCAAAAAGCAAATTATGTTTTGCCTTTCAAGAAAACAAATTTTATGGTTCTTGAATGCTTATATAGTTGATGGATGTACTTTTTTATATTTGATATTAATTTTTTAGAATATTGGTACGACTTATTAGATATGAATGCTTTTATGGTACTTCAATTGTGCGCCTCACTTCACTCAGGCGCGCATCTCGCCGTGCGCCTAGGCTCCGAAGGACCTCTAGCGCCTTGGTGCGCCTTGAGTCTTTAATAACACTGATCAGGGGGGTTCATGATGGGTAGGGATTTGTCTGGCTAGTTGAAGATTACTCACTTTCTCTTTGTGGATGATACTATTGTTTTTTGTAAGGTGGTGGAAGATTAGCTAAGATACTTAAAGTACTATTGTTTTTTGTAAGATGGTGGAGGATTAGCTGAGATACTTGAGGTGTGTGTTGGTGTGCTTCCAGGTGGTTGCTGACTTGGAGATCAACATCCGAAGAGTGAGTTGGTGCCAATGGGGGAGGTAGGCGAGACTGATTCCTTGGCCGATATTATGGGGTGTGGCATTGGGTCCTTCCCGTTATCTTACTTGGGTTTGTCTGTGTTTTGAGAGGAGACTTGTACGTTGGAAGAAGTAATATACTTTGAAAGGAGATGTGTAGCTCTAATTAAAAGTACCCTTTCAAGTTTTTCAACTTACTTTTTATCCCTATCTCATGTCCTATCCTATGTTTTAAAGAGGATTAAGAAGGTGCAGAGGAATTGAGGGAAGGTGTGCAGAGTTATTTAGTTTGGAGGAGGTTTGATCTTTTCAAAAAAGCTTTGTTGGGCAAATGGCTTTGGAGGTTTAAGGTGAAGAGATCCAGATTATGGAGAAGCAAGATAAAAGGTTGGCGAGGATGGCAGTGGTTGGCATTCTAAGGTGGTGGTGAGCTCTCCCATTTTGGTGGGAGTTTGGAATTTCATTCAGAAGGGTTGGAATGAATTTTCAAAACATATTCAGGTTAGGGTTTAGGAGTGGGAGGCTTGTGCAGTTTTTGGCATGTGCCTTTTCGAAATCGCAGTGGACAAGCAAATAGCAGGGGAAGCTAGATCCTTGGTGTGAATAGCAACCTTCTTTAGCTGCGCTCCTTTTGAGCTCTTTTTTTATTGAAATTTTACCTATCAAATACAAATAATTGTTTTTTAGAAGTGTTTTTGGATAATGGTTTTTCAAAACTAAAGCATTATACATATTTCTAAATTGGATTTCAAACTTAAAAACAGTAGCCATTGAAGGAATGGTTGACTGATCGTGCAATTTTGGGAGTTTCAATCAAAGTATCGACCAATCTAGTTTTTTTTTTTTTAAAAAAACATCTCAATTCTAGTAAACATTGATCAAATGGTCAAATCGGTCAAGATGCTTTAGGTAAATATGTTTCAAAACCAGAATGCATGGATCGATGGGGAGGTGTCCAGTGTAGTAGTTCGACTGAAGGCTTGATTGATTGAACTTGTCGGATATAAATTTTTGGGGACTCTTTAAATACAATTTTATAAGGATATAACCATCTAAATTGTATTTAGGATTGAATAATAACTCTGTCTGAAACAATTGAGCCTTGGGTAATGGTCCCACAAACTTTCAAATACCATTATTGTCCTTACCTGCAACAACTTTTGTTTACTTGCTTTGTCTATCAAAAGGTAGGGTTTTGTTGTACTTTGGAATTGGCTCATTAGTAGTTGATTGAAGAAGAAGATGATCAATGCTTTTAGTCATTGTAGGATGTGCGACTTGTAAACCTTGTATTAGGAGGAAACAATTTTGGTGTAATTAGAACTTATGCAGCCAAATATGATATTTTGGTGAACGTATAATGAATTTATTTGAGGGATACATGGAGGGAAATTTTCTAATGGTTGTAATTTGTGATGCATGAAAATGCTTTCTTAATGCACGTGATGTTCCACATAAGCCAACAAGAAACTACTGCACATGCACGTCCATATATTGCAACAGAACAAATTTCTGACCTTCCCGGACTAATTTCTTGTTTTTTATTTTATAAGCATTGCTGTGCAAATGTGGAAACCATTTTAATTGCATTAGTTGCATTTTGATGGAACAGCTCCGTTTATTCATTGTTTTGTGCTTTTGCAGGCCATTGCAGAGATGATGGGATGGGAGTACCCATGATGGGGTTAAGTTTACGGAAAATCTGTTCTTTTGCCGTCTTTGCTTTGATACTAAACAGTAACTTTACGAACTTGTGCTTTTTCATGGTTATGAGGCTGTAGGCAAAGAAAGCTATACGGTGTTACTTTTATCGGCATCTCTCTATATCTCTCAACATATCCTTGATGTGCAAAACCCATAGAACTCTGGTCTAGGGATTGCCTACTTTTTTTTTTATTTTTTCCTTTCAGCTCGACAATGAAGTACTACTGTATAGTGTGAACTAGTTCTGGGAGCCTGGGATTGCCTTTAACATGTACATGGAATCTGCTCCTGTACAGTACTGATATTCGGAAAATAGAGATCCTTGTTAAGTGCTATATTGAGATGAAATTAATTTTCTTTGACGGTCTCTCTCTCTATATGTATGTGTGTATTTCTTGGCATGTAGTACTTGCAAATCTCAGAGATGCTGTACTTGGTTAATTTAAAGGTAAGTGTAGGTTATGGATAGCTGATTATAGAGCATAAAACTCAATTTCAATTAGAGAATTGTTACCAAAATAAAGCCACAACAACGAGTTCGTTTTCATTTAAATTTTAAATGTAGGAGAGGTTAAGGAAGTCCTTTGATGTGATTTAGTTGTCGAAGGGTGAGAACATCACAAGTAAAACATAGAAAAACAATAATAATAATTAAATTACATACTTAAAACTTTATTCCCAACCCTTGGTACTTAAAAGATAACTACTGCCAATCACATTGGATAAAACTAAAAACTGAAAACACTACTGCCAATCACATACATAGGATAACACTAAAAATTAAAAAACCAAGCATGGTAGCATAACACATGACTAAAGACTAAGGTTTTTTTTTTTTTTTTGGGAATGCAGACTACATGATTAAAGAAGATACATGGAACTACACGTTTGTTTGTTCGTAAAAATTCATGAATAATGTCGTTTAAAAATTGGTGGTTATATACAAGTGAAAATTATTCTCTAATAAAATAGGATTAAATTAATAAATCATCGGTCAAACAGATAAGAAAGACATCGGTGTGGTTAATAATATATTCAAGTGTACCAAATGTAATGTGAATAATATTTGAAAGGAATACTGTACGAAAGTAAAGCAATTTTGCCAAGAAAAAGAGTTTTTTTATTAAGTAGTATTTAATCACTAAATGTCTTTTGTGTGTGTTGTGAAGTACACTATTATAATACTTGATGATATTACATTCAACAAAGACATTAAAAATATATTAAGTCTTGTTCTTTATATATATATATATATATATATCACTGCAAGCAATCTCTGTCCAACAACAAGTGTATGATTGCTTCCTTTGTTCCTTTCTATTTTCATAACTGATAATTTTGGCATGTTCGTCCCACAACAAATGTGTGACTGCTTCCTTCCTATCTTATAAGTAAAAGAAGTTAATTGTGTTAAGAATACTGTATATAATTTTCTAGAAGGACATAAATTTGTAAATATAAATAAAATGCAAAAATAAAATAATAACAATAACAATAATAATAATAATAATAATACAAGCACGTAAGAGAAACTTAGGCTCGGTAAATTCTCGATGGATCAAGTATGCCCTTTGCATGGACTTAACCCAATGTCCAAATAGATATCCTACAATTCGGATTCACCACCTTTCTTTGTATAGTTTTTTCTTGTATATATAAATTTGGACAATACTTACTTACCCCATCAGTAGAGATTTCCTTCTCATAGGTGAGGTGGGACAATGAAAAAATTACACGTGTCTTAAATTTTTTTAGAATATCCATGTGGTACTCTATCCACATTCTTTCAGTCATTGAATGGACCGGTAGCACTCACCTAATTGGACAATTCAACAATTAGGAAATCCTGGAGCACGGTACTTGCACAATATAATAAAACTTCTCGTGTTGAGAATGCTACATATTATTTTCTGGAAGTATTTAAATTTGTAAATACAAATAAAATTTATTCATAAGTCAATGTTAAATAGTTTTATTTCATATGTCACAAGTTAAAAGGGTAAAGTGCAAAAAATTCCCCTCAATTATTACCCTTTTGTAAATAACCCCCTGAACTAAAGATTGTCTTTCTAAACTATTGATTTGTTGCAATTAAGGATAAATCCATCACAAAAGACTAGTTTACCCTTTCATACTAATTTTTTCATTTCTTATTAAAAAAAATTAATTATATCAAGTCTTATTTAAATATTAATTGTACCATTTACCTTAATTGTATAATTAGTATCAATTGATTATAAAAATAGAAAAAAATAAATAGATTTGTAGCTATCATTTTCTAAAATGATTAACATATTATAATAAAACTTATTATCCTCACTTTTTTATAAAATAATATAAAAAAGTACCTTCTTTTTCATACAATATTCATGAAAAATTAATAAATTACATAAATAAAAAATATCTTCTTTTTTATGCAATTTATTCATGAAAATTAAGAAATTATTTTTAATTGTTTCAAAATTTTCTACTTAATATTTTTATTTAAATAATTAATTTTAAAAAAATTAAAGGCAAACTTATGCAAATTTAATGGATAATATTTTATCAAATTAGTATGAATTTTTTTCATAATTTATTTCAACAAAGAAAAATATATCAAGTGTAATGCAATAAGAAATAGTACTGTGGTCATTTAATGAAAAATAGGTATGGAAATGGAGCATTTTTTTTTTTAAATTAAAAGCGATAGTTCAAGGGGTTTTATGCACACAAAATACTCTAGGGGGGTTATTTGTAAATTTGGATATAATTTAAGGGAGTTTTTTGCATTTTACCTTAAGTTAAATTTAACATGCAAAAAAACGAAAAAGAAAAGTCAAAGTCTAACCAATCAGACGAGTATCGGAGTAAATTCTTTATGGACCAACTAGACCGTTTGAACTATGTCCAAATTTTCAAAGTGCAACAATACTTTTTAGTTTTTATAGGACCTTAGCCATCCTATTTTTATGGCACATTCATGGCAAGTATTGTTGCCACTGAGAAGGAACCTCCTCCTTACTAAGTTACTTAAAAGTGAGTCCTCATGATTCAGAGAAAAAAGTGAGTCCTCATGTAGTATTATTAAAAGGACAATATTTAAGTTGTGGACGAATAACAAATAGACATAATCTCTTTAATTATTAAATTAGAGTTGGTGAGGTACATTCTGACTGGTTCTATCATCTCTTATTTGGTAAGTGAGTATGTACTCCCACTATTTCTACCTTGGTAATTAAAGAGAACGTATCCATTTGTTATTGATACACATTAGCGACAAGATGTTGTACATCCTTAACCACGAGGACCTAAGTAAAATTAAGGATGTTACAAAAATAATATGAATATTGTATAAAATTTTCTAGAAGCACATAAATTTGTAAATATAAATAAAATGCAAAAATAAAATAAAATAATAATAATAATAATAATTAAAAAATTAACCAACCATACAAGTATGTAAGGATGGCAATTTCCTCCAACCAGACGAGTTTCCATCCCGCCCCAAATGAGGCAGCCCCCTGTTTACACCATAAAATTAAATTTAGAATCAACCAGATAGGATGTGCTGATTGGTTGCCCCAAAATCAGAATTTTGCCACATGGCATAGTGTTGGAAGATTGTTGTTGCAATTGAAAAATAATGTGGTAATTTTGAAACTTAATAAAACTACAAAAGCAATGATATTCAAGTATGTGTTCACATTACATATCAATTCACGTGTGATAAGTTGACGAAGAGGATAAGATGGATAAGTTTGCAGGGATTCAAATTCAAACATTAGAGTTTGCATTTAAATCAAAGTGTCACTTGGTTAGTTAAGTAACTATCATTAACCAATCTGGGATGCAATTATAAATAACGTGGAAGAAGGCCTGTGCAAAGGTCCCCGACCACACAACACATTTTTCCATTCTTACAATTTACTTAAGTATTTTCATTGTATTACACTTCTTTTGCTTATGATTTTTCATTCTCTGCAATTTTCATACAGTCTTGTACTTTACTTCTATTCATAAGAGTAGCCTAGTGTTAGATTTACAATTCTTGTACTATGTAAAAGAATTTTACTTATGAAATAAAAGTCGACGCTTGGCTTCAGTCCCCTCTACTTTTATTTTCTAAGTCTCTTAGAATAAATGAATGCTCGTGTAACTTGTTTTACTCCCTTCATCCATTCTACTTGTAGTGCTGAAAGTCCTCTTTATTGAGGCGTTAAAGAACCTGAAGGAAGGGGTCATCCTTGCCTTCTAGCAGTCGCCTGATTTACTAAGGGCTAATTTCATATTCGATTAGCACCAAGGATAGTTTGGCTATCCAACCCCTTGGGTCGAAAGACTCTGGCACGCCCCTAAAAAAAAAAGAGCCAAACAATTTGGCACACCCGATGGGATCCCGGAAATATCTAAATTCAACCTACATCTATACCATTTACTCGATCTCAGTCGCAAAATTTGCCTGAGAAACAGCCTCAACATTAGGAATAAGGGGCTGAATTGAAGTAAATCAACAGCCAAGTAATCAGATGTTGGCTGAGAATATTAACAATTTAGTGCAACAGATGGAAATTTCCAGCTATACCTTTCATGGAGCGCTAGAGCCAATCCATAATACATTGGCTAATTTGAGTAATTCCTTGACCGTCCTATCAGCAAGGTTTGATCAACACCTTATGGCACAATCGTATACTACAAATACTTTGTTGCATGCACATCAACAAGTTCTAGTGCCTGTTGGGGTTCATTAGAATTACTACTAACAATAGCAGCAAGGGTTTCAACCCCTTCTGCAGCTGTTGCATGAATAGTATCAACCCTATGCTAATCAATTAAAGGCTAATCAGCCGCAACATCAGACACCAGCGGAGTACCAACTAATCAGAGGGGCCAATCAGAATGTGAATTGGCCACCACTTAATCCGATTTATCAACACCAACCGCAAATATGTCAGCCCCAAGAGGGGCGAGATAATTTTAATGCTGGTTTTAATTTTCCAGCGCCTCAGCCTTAGGCGCCGTATGTGCCTCAGCCTCAGGTGCCGAACGTGTCTCAGCCTCAGGTGCCGTATGTGCATCAACCTCAGGCACCTTATATGCATCAGCCTCAAGCACAACAGCCAAACCATCAACCCCTTATGGTTGATAGAGATCAATTGACTAATTTAATTCAAGAAACTTATGGACCATCCCCAAGAAGAGTTGGTCACCTTACATATAGGAAGCCATATCCAGGTTATATAGACCGATATGCATTTCCAAGAGGCTATAAAGTTCCCGATTTTGTTACCTTTTTTGGAGAAGACTCCACTTCAACCATAGAACATATTGGTCGATTTACCATTCAATGTGGTGAGGCTAAAGCAAACAAATTCTTAAAATT